CACACACACACACACACACACACACACACACACACACACACACACACACACAAACACACACAAACACACACTCACTTACTCACTAACTCACTCACTCACAATCAATCAATCAATCAATCAATCAATCAATCAATCAATAAAACCCTTTTGTTTTTCTTTTTTTTTTTTCAAATTATTCATCTGCATTTTTTTAAAACACCCTATACTCTGCAAAAAAAAAAAATTCATTTCTAAAAAAAATACAGGTGAACTCAGGGACCATATATCTCATGTTAAAAATGACAAAAAAAAATTCCTGGTTTTCTTTATATATATATAGTTTTTTTTTCTTTAAATCTAATTTAGTTTTTGATTTTTTTGAAATCCTAAACAAAGTCCGATTCCAAAACAAAAAATATGGGGTTGTAGGGCTTAAAATTCCGTACAACCCCCTTTGTTTTTTACCTATTATTTAATTCAGGAAAATTCAGGAAAATTCAGGTAAAATCGGGTCCGCAGAGGGGACCAGGTCGGCCGCGAACGCGGCTGCATATGCGGCCGCCATCCGAGATCGAGCCCGCGGACGCGTCCGCGGGTGTTTCATAGGCAACAGATCATGGCAGCTGCAAAGGAAATGGAACGAAAGTTCGTTGCGAGTTTCCTAGAAGGGGAGCATTATCCTAGGGAAGGAGACTCGTCCAAACTAGCGAGAGTTAAAGCTAAGTTGGCTGCACTGCAGAACAAATTTGAAAACATGGGGTTTATATCGGGCCCTGTCACCTATCAGGAACAGATTCATCCCAAACGACCGGTCCGTGATGACAGCACCCCCGCCACGGATCGAAACCCCCCCACGATCGAATGAGTCTTCCGCCCTATTAGAACTAACCAAGACATTGGTTACTCTGATTCAGGAAAGCAAAAAAGAACAGCGGGAACACAACGCTCGAATAGAGGCAATGATGAGGTCGATGCGACCAATAGCGGCGCGTGCCGCCCCGATTCAACACGGATTAACTCCGGCACCCCCTCCTGCCAGGATCCCTGACAATCTGAACGTCTGTTACACGTGTCACCAACCCGGGCATATAGCCCGAGATTGCCCTCATCGACCCCCTCAACAACGGGTCAGAGCCGCGCCGGTAGCCGAGGCCCTGATCGCCAACGGACCTGGACGAGTAGGGGCATTGATGGAAGAAATGGAAGGAGGCGGAAGCACATTAGCTACGATGGAGGAAGCTGATGAACTAATCTCGTTGGATCAGTATGTAACGCTTGGCTCCCCAGGGCTTGGGATGATTGGAACGATTAGACCCTCGCCAGAACAAAGAGAAGTGGCGGAATGACGACCGTCTTCAGGAGAAATGAAGTCGGGAGGACTCACCTTCGTCACTGGGGAAATCGATGTTTTGAACATCGTTCGAGCCTTAGATCACCGGATTCCTCTTCCGATTGGTCATCTACTTTCGATATCGGAATAAGCCAACGAACGAATGTTACAGCACTGCAAAGCGAATCGAAAACGATTCGCCATCTCCCAAACAACGAGTACAAAAGTGAAAAATCCCACACCAGATGAAAATGCAGCAGGAACTTCACACCCGATAAGATTAGGATTAATCCAGAAAGATGATCACTTCCTACGGATTAAAGCGATCCCATGGAGATCTGCAGAATGTGATATCGAGATATGGGGAATCCCATATAATGCCATTATTGATTCAGGAGCCGTTGTTCTGGCTATCTCGTTACGGGTAGTTGAAAGGGAAGGAAGGAAGAACGATCTAATCATGCTTACGAAAAAAGATCAGCTCATCTCACTAGACAAGGAGAAGATTAAAACGGTGGGACGAATGACCAATGTTGTTTTTCGATTAGGGAAGGTACATGCTTTGGGAGATGTCGTAGTCTTAGACGTAAACACTTACGACATCCTTTTAGGCCTTCCCGTTCTTGTGGCCCTACGAGCCAATCTGGATTTCGAGAGACGATCGATTGTCCTCCAAAATACAGGAGGAAAACCTTATGTTGACCGATGAGATTGACCCTTCGTACCACCACTAACGTGACTCCGCGAGTTTCTCCCACAATGGCAGGAACTCTCCACGTGATCACCTGCCAGGGATAATTCCGCAGACAACGGGCAACCGTCAAAGGACACGGACAGTAGTGACGAGGACGATCCAGTGATCCTGGAAATGGCACAACAGCGTATCCATTACCCGGTGCAACGAGCAAATACAAGGTCGCTAAGCCTGACCGATTAGAGTCTACAGAGAACGCAAGCCATTATTATGGGTGAACCCCTCGTGCAGATTTCGAGGATGGTCAATTCTTTGGAACCCCCTCGAACCCGGTACGAAGGTATCTCCCCTCTACTTGCACGATATAATGACAAAAGAAACTACTGCGACATCACGAGTCTTCCACGATCTCTTTTGTCACCTGCAAAGGAGATACGACTGATACTCTTGGGAGCAGAGACCAATTCTTTGGAACCCCCTGAGCGCCTCAAAACTGGACTCAGAATTAAAATCGCAACGAAACCAGTACCTTGGCAGGACATTCGAGATGGAATAACACCGGAAGAACACGTGGCCATTCGAGAACAGGATGCACAGATGATGGTCACGATATTCTCCTGGCGGTCGGACAATTCGTTTATTTACGCGCCCCCGCCCGAAAACACTAAGCGGGTAAGTACGAAACACATCGATGTACGGATATGGAATGAGCTGTACGAGTTGCACGTGCCCCAATACGTACCTGATGAAATCCACCATTTAATCGCGGAAATTCTAAAAGAATACAAAGGAGCGATTAGTCTGACGGACACAGACATTGGACTGTCGTTAGTCATACAGCACGAGATTCAAACTGGAAACCATCCCCCGATTCACTTTAAGCCCTACAGATACTCCCTGGCAAAACGAAAAACGGCCCTTGAGCGAATTCAAGAATTCGAAGCTAATGGTTGGATCGAACCCACCACTGGGCCATGGTCGTTTCCGGTAGTATTAGTGCCAAAAAAAAACGGATCGATTCGCATATGCATTGATTATCGCAAGCTGAATGACATCACGATTAAAGATGTGTACCCCCTTCCCAGGATTGATGATTTGCTGGATGCGATTGGTTGTGCTAATTATTTTAGTAAATTTGATATTCGTCACGACTTCCATCACATTCTGGTTAAGGAGGAAGATCGACCGAAAACGGCCTTTGTATTGTTTGAAGGCACGTGGCAGTGGGTTCGATGTCCGATGGGGATTTGCAACGCACCAGCCACGTTTCAACGGGCTATGAATGTGACATTCCAGAACTTCGTCAACAAGGCGCGGCTCACTCAGGGGATGATTAACTTCTGCATCATCGTGTACATGGACGACATCCTCGTCTACTCGGAGACCTATCACGGGCATGCACAACATATCGAGCGGACGCTAGGAGCTATGAGAGATGTTGGGTTCAAGATCGCGCTCGAAAAGAGAGAGTTTTTCCTCTCAGAAATCTTGTTCTTGGGTTACGTGGTGACACGTGGAGGACTGCGACCAGATTCAAGGAAAGTCGAGGCGGTGAAAAATGCTCCTGTCCCCACGCCAGTGACGCTGGTTCGAGCTTTCATGGGACTGGCATCGTACTACCGTCGCCTTATCAAAGGCTTCATTGCGATCGCGCGACCTATGACGAATCTGTTGCGGAAGGACCAGCCCCTCAGTTGGGACGCAGAGTGCGAACAGGCCTTCGCCACCCTTAACTTGAAAGGCGCTTTGGCGGCGGCACCTATTTTGATCCGGTCGGACCCTACGAAGCAGTTCATTCTCATAACGGACTGGCAGCCAGAGGCGATTTCTGCTATTCTAGCGCAAAAGGGGAATAACGGTCGAGAGCACGTCATCGAGTACGTGCTCGTACGGTGCCAGACGAACGAAGGAACGACTCAGCCCCACAAGGTAAATGCTATGCTGTAGTCTGGGGAATTCAACACTTCCATCCGTACTTGTACGGACAAAAGTTCCTCCTTGTAACCGATCATGAGCCATTGTTGGCTCTCAAGAAACTCACTAATTACACCGGTATGATTGGACGGTGGGCCGTGCGCCTACAGGAATACGATTTCGACATCACCCACCGGAAGACAGAGAGGCACGGCAACGCGAACGGGGTCGACACGTCTGCATCGCCCCGCTAAGGTACCGAAGGGCGAAGAAATCATTCCGTGGAAGGAACCGGAGTCAGCGAACGGACCCAAGTATGGAGAAGTGGCAGTCCTTCCACGTGGCAAGAAGCAGGCAATTGGTAATGGGTGACGGAGGTAATCCTACGACTCCTCTCTCTCCCCTCTCATCTTCATCTTTTTTCTCCCTACCCGACACTTTTTGTTATTTTTGTAAAGCGATCTCGCGCGTCTACTCGATCTCAATGCGTCCTAGTGGGGAAGGGTATGCAGAATGGATAGCTTGTCGACAGTGTGTCGCACGAGCCCATGACTCGTGCATCCAGTACAAAAATGACGATAAGCCTTGGTTATGTCCCCTGTGTCGGACTGATAAGATCCCAACTGAAGCTCGATTTCTTGACGCTACGTGAGAAGGGCTTGAAAAGACCCGGAAGTTTAGAAGGGCCGAGGTATGGACGGACATCGCTCTAATTGCCACCTTGGTAGGAAACCCCCTCCAGGGCTTCACTAAGGAAGACAGGAGGAGGGCCAATGAAAGAGCTCGGGATTATCGGTGGAATGAGGGCCGGTTAGAAAAACGGAAGACGGATGGTAGCGGGATTTGGATGGTAGTGCCGCATCCGTTCATGAGGTATGACTGGGTTAAGACGGCGCATGAGGAAACGGCAGCCCATTTTGCCGTATGGATCACGGAAGCAGCAATCGACAAGAACGAATGGTATTGGTCCAATATTCGTGATGATGTGAAATTCATCGTCGCGAATTGCCAGGTCTGCGCAGCTGACAAGGCGCCGATCCAGCCGCCAAGATCAATAGTACCGACGGTAGTCGAACAACCATTTCAGAGGGTTAGCATGGATACTACCGATATTGTGGTGCCCCCTAGACCTAATAGCTGCGAGTATTCAATCCTACTGGTATTCGTAGACCATTTTTCGAAATGAATCGAGGCATATTCGTGTCGTACGCAATAAGCAACTGAAATTGCACGATACGTCAACTGGTTTCCAGGAATGCATTAGGACACAGAGGAAATCCTAACCGACAATGGTGTAGAATTAAGAGGGGAAGTTTTAAGGAATCTGGTCGTACATGGCGTCGCCATTCGGAATATTGCACCCCACATGTCGCAATCGAATGGCCTAGTAGAAAACACAAATCGGGTGATAAAGACAGCGTTGCGACGAAACATCGTGGCACGGGATCCGAGGCTCTGGCCCGATATCGTAGATCACATCTTGGCGGTCCATCGGGGAACGCCTCACAAATCGACGGGCCTTAGCCCCTTCCAATTACGAACCAATAGCGTAGCTTATGTCTTGATATCGAGCCTCCCCGACGAATCATCACTGAACTGACGACCCACAAGAGCCACGGTTCGGGACAAGGCCAAGCGGCATATGGAACTGATGGAACAGTCCCTTCCCCGATTAGCATGAAAACGCCTGAAAATGACTGAGCTGGCCCACGACCGACAGGTCCGTAGCTACGAGGCTCGAAATGGGAACGCAGGACCACGACCCCAATATAAATTAGGGGACCTGGTGCAGGTAAGGAAATGTGCTCGTCAAGGGAAGATAGCGCCACGATTCTTCGGGCGATTTCGTATGATCGAACTCGGCCCGAACGGAGTGAACACCGTGCGCCTCGTGCTCGAGGTCTCGGGAAGCCGATCGGCTCGACCGATCGTCCGCCACATGTCTTATCTACGTTTTCTCCCCTCCTCTCCATCTCCAGTCGCGTCTGCTTCCTCCTTCGCTACAGAGGAGGATGACGATTCTTTATCACTCTCATCCCCTCCAATTTCTTTTGCTCTGTCCCCATCTCCATCGCCATAAGCTTTTCAGTGGAGCAGGTGATCAGTGCACGACTGCTAACCCTGAGAGGACGGATCAGTACCATCCGGCAAGTACAACGGCCACGCCTCATTGCCGATCTTCTTTGGTTTGGAGCTTTCTTCAGCACGACGACAATCCACGCTGCGGCGGAATTCCGGTTTTCACAAGCGGCAGCAACACGTGTTCTGGCCGAGATATCGACCTTCCAGCGTCTGTCCCGTCCTGGTATTAGTCACGTCACGGTCATCGTCGTCTTCATCGGGGATATTACGGCGGTGTCACTGGCGATCCATCCCGACATCCTCCGAACCTTGCGCACATGGGCCGAAGAGATCCAGGCTGCGTGGACAGCACTCCATGCTCGATGCGGGGATTTAGTCGTGCCCACTCACGACATCGATCTGCAGCTTCGCTCTTCCAGCGATTCGCCGCCGATCGTGTTACCAGAGCCTCGCCCCTTTGCGTCGCCCCGAGGAGTCGCGGCCGCCTATCTCTCTTTGGCCTTCCCTCTGACATCCCCACCCTCTTTCAATCTGCTCACGCCCCCCCTCTCTCTTATCGTGTCAAACAGATCAATGTGCTGATATTGAACGAGGAGAAGTGGAGCGAGTGGTGGGAAGTGTACGCAGAGCTTGCCTTCTGCTTGCTAGAAGTAGAATTCCCTGGTCTGAGCCGGCGCCGTGTCGAGAGGGTCCAGAACTTCCAGACGACGAAGTGGAACTGCTGATTGTACAAGCTTGGAGAACGGCGACAGAGGGGGATGTGTTGGGGATACTGTTTGGAAAGGTGGATGACGGAAATCTCGCTCTAATTACAAGCGAACTGCTGGTGTTCCTGACGCAGCTTGTGGACGACCTGCCCCTGGCACCCACGTGCTTTCCCGAACACTCGAGCCACGCCTGCTGTGGTCCACGTGTACTGAGCTGGACGGCGACAACTGCATCTATCCGTCCCAGACTCTATTTCTTGAGATCGACGTCACCAATCTCACAGTCTGGGACCCCATCATCGGGCGAGGAAACGAGCGGCAAGAGGAGGAAGGCGAAGAAAACGAAGAAGAAGAATCGAGCGAAGATAGTGAAGATCCTGATTACATTCAGGAAGAAGAAGAGGACAGGGAAGGAGAGGAGCCAACAACAGAAGAAGAGGGAGCAGGTGGGCCGAGTCAGCAGCCCGAAGGAAGCAGAGAAGAAGAAGAGGCAAGAGCACGAAAACGGTTGGAAAAGACGGAGGAGAAACGGCCAGTTGAGGAAAGGTCCCTGCCGGATCTATCATTGGGAAACCTGTGGCTCGATCCAGAGCCCCCGAAGGAAGACGAAGGAAACGATGGAACCGGAGCGGAGGGATCGGGAAGACGCAGCCGAAGGAGCGAATCGCCGACTTCGTCTGGTTCCTCTGCCCGACCTGCCCTTCGCCTACGTCAGCATGAGGGCGATCGGGCTTCGTCCCCGTTTGTTCTCTTTCCGTCCCCTTGACTTCCTGATGGTCACCCGACTCCCTGGTAGACCCCCGTTCCCCGTTGGATGGTGTCCCTTCCCTCCCGACCTCTTCCACCACCTCTACGCCACCCGCCTCCTAGTCACCGTCTTTCCGCATGTTACCACCCGCTCTGTAGTACATTATTTTCTTCTCCATGTTCTCCTGTTTAGCGCAGATTGGCAGGAATATAACCATATAGAAATATATTGTGTTATATCAGGAACGATCCCCGCCTGCAAAAATTACGAGAATTTTCGCACCGCTCTTCACCGCACTCTCTCCACCATCTACCCCGACTATATTGCCTCTCTCCCCCACCATCGCGTGGAACCCCGTTTCCCCTGCATCCATCGCTCCATCCATTACACCTCCCTTCCCGCTTTCGAATCTCCGGCCATCAACCGCTTTATGCCTCCTCTTCCCCAGCATCCTCCACCGCCCCCCTTATCGGTAATTAGATTGCCCTTCCCGGGAAACCTGTAGGTTGGAACGCTCCCCGCCCCCACTCCCGAATAACCCACCCCCTCACCATGCTCCCATGTATCGTCTTCCCTTTCCCCTTCCCTTAGGTCATTGATATATGGTTGATTGGCACGGGCCACGGCGATGGCACGCACGATCCCCTGCTTGGACTGAAGAGAGCCCATCCTGAGGAAATTATAGGATAGAGCCACGTGTGCCACCCTGGATGACATCCACACTCTTATCGGACGGTAAGTGGCAACAACGAAGCACGTGTCACGATTCAAGCAAGCACGAGCTTGCTTAAGATTGGAACCCCCTGGGCGTCACATATGTGACGAACCAATTTCTGTTTCTCGCGATTTTCTGTGCGATGACAACGAGGGGTCCTAAGATTGGAAGGTTGGGCCAGTTACGGGAGATCGGGATCAAAGGGAAATTGCATCGGTGTCCTCGCTTCTTCGTCTTTTTGCGTCGTTTCTTTTCAGATGGCTGGGTTCAGGGCCGGGCAAGTCGCGAGATGGCCGATTGAGTAGCTATCGCGCCGACAAGAGGCGCGAGCAATAATGTTTGACGTCGCTTCTTTCTTGTTTTGTTGCCGGGTTGTAGGCATGGAGGTCGCGCAAGAATTTTGCTTCGTTCTTTTTTAATTTCTTTTTCGAATCTTGTCGAGCGTTGATGGCTCTCGGAACTTCGGATTTTCTTTTCGAAATTTGTGCTTCTTTTTTGCATTAGCTAGGAATTTAGAAATTTAGGAATTCGGGATTTCTTTTGCCGCGCGTTATCTTTCTTGCGCGCTCCGTTTTGCGGCTGCAACGGAGCTCTGATTAGTCGGCTCCCTTAATCTTGCAAGTAACTGTAATTTTTGGGTGGGCGCCATTGTAACTGTATCTTTCTTCTTGAGCTTCGTCTGTCCCGCTCTCTCTTTCCCTTTTATGCTCGGATCGATGCGTGGAGAGTGGCTACGTCCCCCACGCCGCGGTCTGGCCATGCAGAACGTAGGCGCTTTCTCTCCTAATCTCCTTTCTAAGTCCTTGCAGTTTCGTGTTCTTCGCGCGTGCATACACGCTATAAATTTCGGTTGCGCGATTAGATAGCTCTCTTAACCAGGTCTTGGAAGCTCGGGGTAACGCGATCAGTGAGGGTCAGCTCACGAGCGAAGTAAGAGGTGAGTTGAAGTGGGAGTCGGGCGACCCGACGAGCTGGTAACGAATGCGTGGGGTTGGCGGTGGGGCTACGACGGACTGTAGCGCGCGGGCGAACCTGACGGGTGTAGGAGGACTAACCGGGGTGACAACTTCGTGGGTTGGTGCGTGACGACGTACTGTCCGCATCAGAGAGAGAGGGAAAGAGAGAGCTGATGGTGATGGACGTGGATTTGCAATTTTCTTTGTCTTATCGCCCTCCTTAATTTTGCATATAAATTTTGATCTCCGCTCCGGGCGACTCGCCCATTTTTCTTTGTTTTCTGAATCTTGGCTTGGCTTCAGCCCCCACTTGTTTTGCGATTGATCTTGATCTCGTTTAGTGTGTGTTTGGTCAAATGAATGGATGGATGAATGATATAGTTATTGTTTTTCCTGACTGGTCATTGTCTTTGCTTGCCATTTTGATACGCCATTAAGGCATAGTAGAAATGCCGACGTCTGATGTGTGATAACACCTTGCATGCTCGGGAATGATTGCCTACGAGATCACGAAGTGATAAGATGATTGGGTAGTTGTTTACGACGCATGGCGAATTTGCAACTGGCGAATGCCTTGCGGGGATACGTGTGAGCGTGATTTGACCTGCGCAGCCTATACGTATCCACGCGCGTCGATTCATGACCATTGATGAATCTGACACCTCTGGTATTGGACAAGCGGGAATTCTCCTTCCTTCACGCACCTAAACGGATAGGAATTCCCGATATCGCATCGAGAAAGCCCCTTGCCCGTTAGATGTGTGCGAAAGGCTTTCATTACGCCGGAATGATAAGATGCCGAGTTCCTGGGACTCAGAGTACTTCGACCCTTGGGTGATAGAATGTATTAGGCAAACATACCCGGAATTCCCCTGCCTAACCGAGAATCGATTGTGCCCGAGGGAGTTTCACTATGCCGTGACCAGCGATCCGAGGTGCCCTGATTACCCAACTACGGATAACACGCAATACTTCATATCCCCCTACTTCGTCGTTATCACCACCAAGTTCCCTCCCTTCCGTCTCCTCCTCCCATATCACCAATTCACAGTGGTTCCGTGGAATTCCATCGCCCCATATTGGCCCCGGACGCCTTGCGGAAATTGCCGGCGAGGGGGCGACCAACGAGCCTTTGAAACTACGAGGCCTAACCAAAACGCGCGACGACAGACGCCACGTGTCTGCACCCGAAGGTCCCACTAATTGGAATCACAACCATCCCCGGCGGGCCTTTCCCCGAACCGCTATCACCGAAACAGACGGATCGGACGGCCTTGAATGCACCACGCATGCCATCTACCTTATGCTGCACGACATTGACCGCCATCAGACCAGAAGTAACTCGCCCCCTTAGCTCTATTGCATCTATGCCCCTGAAACTTTGCCACAGGAGATCTCAGTTCTGACCTGGGACTCCACCCCCACTTTCCCAAAAACGGCCACGTTTTTCGTCCGCGGCCGCCGCGGTAATGACCGCGGGCCCGCGGTTGACCGCATGGGCCGCGGTCATGCCCGCGACCGCCGGGGATACATAGCACACACACACACACACTCCATCGATAGGATGAGCAAAAACGGAATGAATCTTCCGCTGAAACGTGGAAATATACACTGCCACTTTTCGATTTGCTGATTCTATCGATCCAAGTAGCGTGCGGCGAGGCGCGGGTTGGAGACTTATCGT